TACACCTGATCCTGAAATTCGATTGGTCGTTATTACAAGGGGTGGAAAAAATTTTGTGGGACAGCTAGGGGCTTTGGGTTGGGAGATACCGTAAAGTCGGACACCCGTGTCCCCTATTGCGTGTACCCTCTTCCAGTAGGCGGTGATCAGGACCTCAATATTGTATATGAGGTTATATTTGGGCAAATTAGTAAACTTTTTTTTTGTTAGCACTTTTATTTTGACACGTGTTATCCATACTCAATATTGTTTATCATTATCCAATATTAAAATATACCAGATTTACCGTCGACATATTTTTTCATGCCGCGAAAGCTTTCGGAATTTTGCTCCCAAAAATTTCAGACCATGTACATCTTTTACGTTCGTTGGTATTCTACTTTCCGAAATTTATCGTTATTAGCATAGTCTTTACATTAGTATATCTCAAATATGAGATCTCTTCATACAGGTTCCCCTCGTTAATATCAACCTTTTTAAATCATGTTGATAGTAATATTAATGAGAACTCATATTAAAGTTGATATATATGAAGGAATTTTGATATATAAAAATTTGGTTGTGGCTTAGGTTGATATTAACGGGGTCACCCCTGTACTAATTTCATTAGCAAAATTTTAAATATATCCATCTTATTGATTATCCACTTTGTATATAACCTTCACGCTCAATACCTACTTTTCAAATTTTTTCAAATATAGCATCATCCAAAAAAGGGTAATATTAGTTTTTCAAATATGACCTCATATATAAATATTCGGGATCCTCTGTGATTTATACCCGGGTACATAAGTACGTACGTACGTATTTTATACATACTATATGTGTCATACCAGATAGATATACATAGTAAAATATATTGTCTTAATGGTGTACCCATATTCCAGGCACAAATTTGAATTATGAAAATACCCGGGGTACTCGTGTCCGATTTTTTTACGGTATTTCATTATTCCCGCCGTCCCGGGAAATAAGTAGTACTTATTTCATTATAAAAAAAGTGTGACGGTATTCCCATTATATAAGCATTAAAAAATTTCGGAGATTAAAAAATCAAATCACTTTAACAGTTTAGTTCATATAATTCTCCGATAGCATATAAGTTATGCAGGGGTCTGTGAACTTAATAATTTACTGCGATCTTAAGAATACGTAACTTTTTAATTAGAAACATCATAAATCACAAAATCCACAGGTCTCTACCGCTAGTTTTAAAGTTTGACACACGTGATGGTTTACTCATATCGTTATATCGTTTGGAAATTCTGTTTTGTGTTAATGTCACCCAAATTATTACTAATATTATTATGTGACTATATACTACTATAGCTTATCGGGTGCCATTGATTTTAATCTGGATGAAAATTGAATATTTTTTTTCGTATTAATTACATTATAACATATGTATTGAAAACTTGTGTACCTCAGTGTTATTAAACACTTTTATGTAAGGCCCAATATTTATATAAAGAATGAGAATTTCCTTTTTTTTTTTTTTTTTTTTTTTTTTTTTAAAGGCAAAAGCTTTTTTAAGTAAAGTTTTAAAATTGCCGTTATGAACCAACCTGTAAATCAAGTGATTGGTCAACCTGTAAATCAAGTGATTGGTCAACCTGTAAATCAAGTGATTGTTCAACCTTTAATGCCACAAACCGCCAATATTCTCGTAAATTCATCCTTCGACAATCTTGCTGCTGAACAAAAATACGAAATTTTAACCGAAGGTACAGATCCGTTTACTGCACAAGAAACAGAAAATCAAGCAGTTCAATTCCCGGCCTTTATCTTTTTAGGATCACACTTTGGATAAGCAAAATTATGTGTTTTTTTTCACTAAAAAACTTTCAAAAGAAATAAGTCTAAATCGTTTAATTATGTATGTATTTACTTTCATAAGTTATATGTAGTGGAACTTTTTAATATTCAACTATATCATTTTTTTATGCGAATTATAACCTAAGATTGTAAATAGGAGAGAATATAAACAAGGAGAAAATAAGTTGTTCGCTTTTCATAAATTTTCACTGCCTCTTAAGCTGTCTCTCATTATCATTGTGAGGCTTGAAATATAGATTATAGTTCAATATAGTTCGATAGATTAAACATGTAACAACGATTTAAGGGATAATAATGTATTTTATTAAAACAATATTAATATATTAAGTTTGGTGTATTTGACATGTGTGCTTAATATAAATTCTAGTTGGAATAGTGCTTAATAAATTTCGAAACTAATTTTTAACAAAATAATATCAAAAAATTAAATTCACATCTAAATTTTTGATTGACTTGTAAAAGAACATATGCAATTTCTCAAAAACTATTAAAAATATATGCATTTTCAGATATGGAAGGACGTATGCACTTTTTCATACGAATAGTTTAGGTCCTGGCTTTCCTAATAATAGTAGCTATGATTAAAGACTTGATTTTTGAGTTATAGTTCATAATGATAGTCAAATTGAAGTTAAACGTACGTACTTATTAGTATCAGCAAAAAATTAAACCTCTCCGCAGGAAAAGGCCAATGTTACAAATAATATTTATATGTATATTCACATGGTTTTATTTTTCATTATATCATTGCCACATTGCGAAATGATTCTTTCACAAATTTTTTTAGTGCGCCTAAGATTTGAAATAATTAATTATTTATCTTGATTAATTATTTGTCTTTGAAGGATTATTTTAGAATTCATAGTTGAAGAAAATAAATACGATTTAAGTAGATTACACAGCAGTAGCAATAACAGATTGAAGATAAACAAAAATAATAAATAACGAAAGATAAATAATGATTGACAAAGCCGTAAGGTAAATACAAATAAAATGACTGAAGTTCAGAAGTCGAAGATAAACACTAACTGAAATTATGAAAAACGAATTTGTAAAAAAACGTAAAATGAATTTGTAAAAAAACATATTACGCAAAATAATGGAAGTCACAAAGATGCATTTGTAAAAAGTACATTAAATAAAAATAACAGAAGTCATGAAAGGCGCATTTGTAAAAGACGCATTTACACAAAAAAAATAGATATCACAAAATTCCGACATTAACCTGTGACGTATTAAGAAAGAAACACCTATCACGACCAGTGATGAGCGGAAAATTCAAGTATGCATAACGTATGCGGAATGAAATTTTAAATTTGCCGTTCCGCAGATTCCGCATATAGATTTTAAACAACTGATCACAACTCAATTTAGTTAGACGTTATGTTTCAGTACAAAAAAATTTGGCGCCAAATTTTCTGAAAAAGATGACATCATAAATTCCATTAAAAGACTCCCCTGAAAAGTGCAATAACACATTTTTTATATAATTATATAACATTTAAAATTATTCTTTCTACATTAAAATTGTAAAACTTTTATAGTTAACTTTTAAAAGTTAATTTTAAAAACATAAAATTAAAAATTTTAAACCAATCGATCTGACCGCTTGCAAATAATTTAACATACAGTAAATAAATGCTTATCTTTCTGAATCAAATCAAATTCATTATTTACGTTTCGATATATGATATAAATACACAGTATTTATATGCATATCTAGATATTATTACGCATTTACACACGTATAACACCGATCAGTATCAAATTACCGCATAAATTCTATATAGACAGAATCAGCCCAGTCCAGACTCTTTATTCATAGATCTATAAATCATAGAAATATCTATTAAAGTTAAAAATTTTAATGCTCGATAAACATAATAAAGATACGTAATATGTATGTACATATTTGATTCTATGAAATTGTTCTATTTATATTAAAAATATTATTACGTACAACCCATTATAAATGGAATTATTTGTTTGACATCGGCCGATAGGTTGAGACTTAATAATGCACTGCTTAACAACAAAAATATTATTAGCATATACATATTGATCAACTCACTTAAGAGTCGATTGGCGAGATGTGCAATTCGTTTATGCTTCTCAACAACATACTAAATATTTTTCTCGATTTATTATATTATTATGGATTCTTAGGTCTATTAATACTATATTAATGCATCTCATTTTCTATCGCTATCACAACAATAAATTAAACAGACAATTAACCTGTTAATTTCATTTCTTTTTAATTTATAATTAATCTATTACATTTAGATTTCATTTCTTTTTAATTATAATTAATCTATTACATTTAGACTAAATAACTAAATTAATAATTAAAAAAGTAAATACATATTATGAACATTGTGTTAATTTTACAATAAATATATTGATTCTATAATATATTGTCAAATAACCTTTATACGCTGCAATATTGATACGAATTAAAAAAATAGATATCATAGATTTGAAATATGTATCATAATGATTTTTTATCTTTATATCTTTACAAATTACATTTAGCACAAATAGAATGAACATACATTATCATGTTTATATCTAATTGATACAAATAGTAAATATTTATAGACCTACAGTAAATTACGATTTCAAATTCATTAATAAACGAGTGCTGCCAAGGGAAATCTTCTTCATCTTGTAATATGTGTTCTAATTGATAATATTGGTATTTGCTTGATTAAATGATGTAATATCTCAATGCTTCAGAGATACGGTAAAAAATTAAATTTCGTACTAAATTTTCTTTCGTGTTCAAAATAATTTTAGAAGATAAATATTTTGAACTTGGATATTATATGTGTAAATTAAAAAAGATACTTGCAAACTATATTGATACAAGTGAATTTTTATATATTCTAGTTAAGATATATATATACTCATAATTTTAAATATATGCATATTAATAGTTATATGTACTCATTTAATTATGCGAAAGAAATAATCAAGTAATTATGTGATATAGTAAATGTTTATATACTGTAATTTAAAAATGGTACGTACGTATAGTAAAATCATGATGATTATAATTAGTGTTCCGCAAAATGGATTCGAGATTCGGGATTCGATTCGACAAATCCCAAAATTTCGAATCCTGCGAATCCGAATCCAATAGGGATGTTACGGTCCGTCCCAGTCCGGTCTTAGTCCCAAAGACCGGTCCTAGCAGAGGACCGGGGACTGGACCG